CATACTTACAATTAACAACTGAATGCATCGGAAAATCGTACAATCATACGGGATTGAACACCTACCTAACCATACAACTAAATATACGCATTAATTATAAATCGCACGCTTTTACATTAAGCCTCTCGGCTACGCAATCGATGGGGGAAATTTCCTATTTAAGAAACATCCCTTATCAATGAAATAAATTAGATCCTGCGTGGATTTTACTTTGTAATTAATGTAAGTATAGATGTCAACAATATTTATAATATTGAATTAATAATATTGTCAACTAGTTTAAATTTGATACGGTTATTAGAATTTAATAATAAATAAATAAAAAACATTAATTTTTTCCATGAGGACTTTGACACTCCTCATGGTAAGTTTGATTATTCTTTTTTTTCGTGTAAAAAATAGTTAATTGACCTTGAATGAAATGTATAATTAATTATCCTCAAAGCAATATTTAATAAAATTTAATTAACTTAACTGCACTGCATAATAGTTGAGAGTAGTAATGTTTCGACACTATTTTCAGTTTAAGGGTTCACTCTACTATTATAACTTAGATTTATTCGTTTTCGGAATATTAGTAAATTGAGGAAAAGAGAGGAATTACCCCAAATTATCCCAAACATTGAGAGGAAAAACACGAGGAACCAGATTGTCAATCTTGCATCCTTTTTATGTGTGAAAATGTAAAATTATAATATGAAAATGATTTGAAATAACAAAAATGTAAAATAGTTTAAATTTAATAATAATAAATGTTTAAATTATAATTAGATTATTACTAAACAATACATTAAAATACATTGACAACATACATTCATAGAAGACGATACGAATACATTTAAAACATAAATGACATCTTGGACGTCACAAGATTATTTGTTTTTCGTGTTTTTATTAATAACTATTTTCATCTACCTTTTATCATACAGCGGTGAAGTAATAAAAGGGGTTTAAATATTATTGCCGATTCGCTGCCCAAAACTTTAGTCGACAATAAATTTCCCATTAAATTCAGAATCATTGTTTCCTATAATAGTTATATCTCGAAAACCAATTAGTTTGCGGATAAGAAACAAAATTAATGGAGCAAGGTTTAATATTTTTGGGGTGAGGTGAGATGGAAGAGAAAGAGAGACAGAAAATAGGGAAGAAATAATTCCATGTGTCCCATTTTTGGTATATTAGATCTTACGAAATGTTGCCGATTTTCTACTGGAATTATTGTATATATAGCTTTGTGTGTACGACATGAAGGGTGAAAGTAGTATCAAGAGGTATAGAGAAGGCAAAACTGGATAAGTTCCACTGTTCTTGTCTCGTCTCCAATGATGCATGTTGAGACGTTACTGACCCTATCCTAGAGACCAATTCCATCGAAACTCCTTAACTTTCTCCCCACTGAATTCATGTTCGCTTTCCCCGGTTTCCTTTTCTTTTTTTTCGAGGAGTCAAAGCTCTTTTTTTCTAACGTCGCCCTAAGGATATTTATTTCCATTTATTTCGACCATCAAAACAACAAGGAGTCTTGGTGCCGCGAGGGAAAGGGGAATTTGATATTGAAATTAGAATATCAATTGTAGAAGCAAGATGTTTTTACCATTCAGATTTTGGGATAATTTGTACAACTGTTTCTGTGTCTCTTTTTTAGTTTACTTCTTGATAGCATGGTTCACTTATTAATTTTTTACTCATTTATTTATTTTGATTTCAAGTTCGTAGGCGTTGAAAAAGTTTCTTTGAAGAACTGAAAAGACAAATGATAATTTCTTAAACTAATCGTCCATAGCGTTAGTAAAAGATTGTCCCCACACTACTAAACTGAATTGGTCACAAAACTACTAAAATCGAAAGAAGAGTATTAATCAATCAGTTTTTTTCCCATTATAACATTTATGGAATAATATTAACTGTAATTACCATAAACATCATTATTATCATTGTCATTTTTTTCCGTGTAGTACATTGAACCTGGGGACAATTCCTCTCGATTGCTCCTAGTATGTTCAATTTTCTTTGAACACGATGAGAGGAGCCACCCTTTGGTGGCGCTTTCACCGCAGGGGTGCTGTCAGAGCACGAGGGCAGTCGTTGCAACTTTCACATGCCCAGGATATTGCTTTCATGGTCCAACCATGAAGGATATCGAGGGCACATTATTGCCCATTGCTCTTCATCATTGAGGTTAGGCTTCATATTTTTTTTCTCTCTTCTTTATACTTAATCTATGTGTGTCCGTAAAACCGAACACTGCAATGACCATCCTTGCGTGAATAAAAAAATCTTTAAAAAAGAAAAGTGATTTTTTTTCATAAAATATTGAAATATTAAAATAGAAATTATCTTTTAGGGAATCTATTTACGAATCTATTCATATCTGAATTGTTTGATGCTATAAAAAGTATAAAAACTGAAGCACAGGGCTTTTGTGGTCTTTCTGTTAGCATTGTGAAAAAAGCGATGCCTGTTATATTTCCATATGTACTTGATGTATTTAATTTGTCTTTGCAAAACTCAGTCTTTCCTGATGAATGAAACAGGACATTTATCACACCTGTAAATAAAGTAAAGATTCTGCAACACCCTGGGGAGCATAGACCAATTGCTATTGAAAAAAGTGCCTTGAAAAAGTTGTACATAGTCAGCAAATTAAATTTGTTGAGTCAAAAAATATTCTTGATCCTTTTCAATCTGGCTATTGATTATAGAAAGGTTACCATAATTATTTTCTTTGATTTCAGCAAGGCCTTTGGTATAGTACCACATAACATAATCTTTTGTTATGTACGGCCTTGCCAACTATATACACGTGCTTTGCTTAGTCGCTCTGTACTTTTTCTGTTTTTACATTGATTTTTTGTCCACTGGGTAGCAATCCTGATGATAAAGAAGATATTTCAACGGCGAATTTGACTCCATTGGGCCCTGCTATTGAGACTTTGAGACCTGGCTGTCACCTAATGTTGCTAATAATTTTGTTAGTCTGGATAATTATGTACATACTATTTCGCCAAGATAGAGAAAATCGTAGAGGTGGAGGTGTGTGTTCATATGTACATAAAGATTTTAATTGTTCGTTGATTTGTGTGAGCTCTGAGGGATCTTACCCTACTGCTGAGTTTTTATTTATTAAAGTACAATCTCAATTTGATAACGCTTTAGTGGGAGTTGTATATAAGCCTCCAAATGCGTCGTTTGGTACTGAACTAGAATCTCAGATTTTTTCATTAATACAATATTTCAATAACATTATTATCATGGGTGATTTTAATTGTAATTTAAATATCCCTTCTTCAATCACCTCTTATTTAACATCATTATTTTATTCAGCTGGAATGTCTATTGTCCCTCATAGCTCAACGCACCATGTGAATACCTCTAGTACGAGAATAGAAATAATGTTTGTCGATGATCTTGATAAAATTCAAGCTGTTAATCAAAATGCTGTACCTGTTCTTTCTAGTCACGATTTAATTAGTATTAAATTTAAATTTTTTGGCATACAATAAAAGTATTTACTTAGAATCAGACATTAATGTTAAGGTTTATAAATTGACTTCTTATATTACTTCAGCCTTTTACGTGTTTGCACCCCTGCACTTATCAAATATAAGATGTAGATTTTCTCCGTGGATGAATGAGGAAATAAAAATCCTCATTAAAGAACGTAATAAACTATGCAAAATTGATAAGCGTACTGGTAAACAATATGATCAATCTAAATTTAAAAAACTTAGAAACCTAGTAAAAACAAAAATTCGAGACTCTTATAATAAATACAATTTTAACGTAATTAAAAGTAAAAGTAAGACAGATGATATTTGGAGAATTTTAAAAAATTAAAATCTTATTCCAAATAAAAAAACGTCAACTGACTATTCTTTTTAGGCTCATGAACTTTTGGACGTATTTTCTAGCACAACTATTTTAACTCCTACTCATATAACTATTCCTGTTAATAATGACTACAACAACTTTGATGAAAATAAGTTCTTTTTCAATGATATTTCACTCGATGTTATGCTTGAGAGTATTAAGCATGGGGCCTGATAACATTAATATTAAAATGATTCAACTGTTTCTTCCTATAATATTCACTGTCCTATTGCATATATATATAATTATTTCCTGCAGACTGGTTTTTTTCCTGATATTTGGAATATGAGCAATGTCAAACCTGTTCCTAATATAACTAATCCAAAGAAACCATCCGATCTGAGACCGATTTCAATAATTTGTGCTCTCTCTAAACCATTAGAACGCCTCGTCTGTAAGCAAATAACATCATATTTAAATAAAAATAAATTATTTGAACCACTGCAATCTGGTTTCCGTCAAATGCAGAGTACATGTACGGCTGCTTTAAAATTTACATCTGATATCAAACTTGCTATGGATGCTAGATACATTACTGTTGCGATTTTTTTTTACTTTTCAAAGGCGTTTCCCTCTGTGGACTATCAACTAGTGATTAATAAACTTGCTTTATTCAATATGTCGAACTCTGTTTGTCGTTTAGGTTTAGATCACAAAGAGTTATTGACGGTAATGGCAACATTTCAAACTGGGACCAAGTTAAGTGTGGTGTTCCACAGGGTGCATCACTTTCTTCTCTATTGTTTAACTTATTTATTTCTGACCTCGGTAGCGATTTTTGTTGAATTTATACACGGGATAAATAAGGCTGCAGGTTTAATCAGTAAAATAATTATTTAATGTATCAAAAATGTATTACAAATTATGAGCATCGAACATTGCTCATTTCTGGTTAGCGGAGTACTACTGTTGCAATCAGGTAAAACGACGCTTGACAAAATCAACCCAAAAAGAGGTATATACTTACTACCTTTTTGCTATCATAAAGTTTCCTTTACCTGAAATTATTTTGGCTCAACTTGCAACAGACTTGTTTAACTAAATTCAGTTTTCAATGCTACTAACATTTCTACATTTTTAAACCATACAAAATATCATTTATTCTACAGAGAATTTAACACTCCCACTTATTTTGAATGGTCTGATACACTCATCATTTCTCGAAGATATACAAACTGTTGCTTGGGTAACGGTTTAGTAAAAATATCAGCTAATTGATCTTTTGACATTACATATTTTACTTCTATATCTTTTCTACCAATCACATCTCTAATAAAATGAAATCGCACATCTATGTGCTTTGATCGCTGATGAAATTCAGAATTTTTAGACAATTTTATCGCGGATTGCTTATCAACATAAATTGGAGCTGTTTCACATTTAATACCTAACTTATTCAACATCCGACGTAACCAAATAGCTTCTTTTGTTCCATTTGCTAAAGCTATATACTCTGCTTCGGCTGTCGATAGTGAAACTACATCTTGACGCTTGCTCGACCAAGATATTGGTCCACCGTTTAACAGAAACACAAAACCGCTTCTTGACTTTCGTGTTTGTATGCACCCTGCGTAATCTGCATCGGTAAATCCTAAAAGATTAAGTGTACTCCCACTATTTCCAAAAACCAAACCATAATTTCGTGTCCCTATCAAGTATCTAAAAATTCTCTTTACAGCTTGCCAATGTTCCTTATTAAAAGAATCTAAAAATTGACTCACATAATTGACTGAATATTCTATATCCGGTCGACATGTTCTTGCAGTAAATAAAAGTGAGCCTATTGCTTCGCGATAAGGAATACATTCTTTTTTATTTACTTCACTTTTACGCAAACTTAAACCTGGTTCTGCTGGAACACTCAATGAATTTGCACTTTTCATACCGAATTTTTCTAACATTTTATCTATATACCCGGTTTGACAAATTTTAAGAATACGCTTTTCTCTCATACGCTTAATCTCAATTCCTACAAATTCATTTGCTTCATCAACTGTTACATAAAAGCTCTTCTTTAAGTAAACCAATACATCATTAATTGCTTCTTTGCTCTCACTTATTAATAACCCATCATCGACATAAAGGGCTAAAACACTTTCAAATTTCTAACCACACCAATGAAGACGCACTTATCACTGCTTATGCTTTTGAAATTAAAACTTTGCAAAAAAGTAACAAACTTATCATTCCAACACTTTGGAGACTGTTTCAAACCATAAAGACTTCTTTTCAACTTGCACACTAGATCTTGATTCTCGTTCGTTGCATATCCTTCAGGCACTTCCAGGTAGATATCCTCTTCAAGATCTCCATTGAGAAAAGCAGTTTTTATATCAAATTTTGAAATTTCATAGTCTTCTTTTGCAGCAATGCTTAGTAGTATTCTGATGGACTCGTATCGAACAACCGGTGAAAAAGTTTCGAAATAATCCACTCCTTCTCGCTGTGAAAATCCTCTTGCTACTAATCTTGCTTTGTATTTGTTTATTGTTCCATCTGCATTTGTTTTGACAGAAAAAATCCATTTGCATCCGATCTTCTTCCGTCCGGGTGGCAACTTGACAAGGGTCCATGTATTGTTTTCTTTTAATAAATTCATTTCGTCTCTAATAGCAGCTTGCCATTTATTTGACTCTTTACATGATATTGCCTCATTATAATTCATTTGAACAATATCTGCAATGTGAGCCACAGGAACACCATAATAATCCGGGGGTTTCAATAATCGTTTATTTCTTAACCTTGGATCCTGATTATATTCTTGCTCTACTGCAGCTTCTTCGAACAATGGATTCAGGTCGACTATTTCCTCTTCTGGAACCTCGATGATTATTTCTTCTTCTGGAACCTCCGTGATTATTTCCTCTTCTGGAACCTCGATGATTAATTCCTCTTCTTCAGGAGCTTCATTTGCTACTTCCTCTTCTGGAATTCTTTGAATCTTTTCATAGATTTCTAATCCAAATTTTATTTCAGAGTGATTGTTGTTTTCTTTATCCTCTTGCTTATTTTTGTAGTTTTCTTCCCTAACTTCCACGTCACTGCTTATGTAAATCTTCTTCGTCCTTTTATCCCATAGTCTAAAATTTGAGGATTCACCATCATATCCAACAAATATTACTTTTTGAGATTTCGAATCAAATTTCCTTCTTTTTTCTTTTGGCACGTTCAAATAAGCATCTGAACCAAACACCTTCAAATGTTTTATATTAGGCTTGCGTTTAAACCATTTTTCGAAAGGTGTTTTGGTTTGATTTGGTTGGATGACTCTGTTTAATACATAACAGGCTGTATTGACTGCTTCCGTCCAGAGACTTTTCTCTAAATTACTACTTATCAGCATTGATCTTGCGCTTTCTACAAGTGTTCTTATCTCGCGTTCAGCTCGGCCATTCTGTTCGTGTATATAAGGGGATGAGAATTCATGCACTATTCCTTTTTCTTTGACATGCTTTTCAAAATCACTACATGTATATTCGGTTCCATTATCAGAATGCAGCACTTTAATTCTATTTCCGGTTTGATTAAAGGTGAAATTCTCGAACTCTTTAAATTTCTCAAATACCTCTGACTTGTGTCTAATGAAATATACTTTCCTGAAACTAGTACATTCATCCTTGAAAACCACAAAATATTTTGAACCGCGTGGAGATTCAAAATTAATTGGTCCACACACATCTGTGTGTATTTTCTCACCTGCTTTATAGGTAGTCTCATTCTCAATTAAATAATGTGGTTTACGAGATTGCTTTCCCATTACACAAGCTTTACAAAAGAACTTATTGTTTTTATCAATAGAAAAATCATGAGTAGTTAAAGCTTTACTTGTTTTAAGAACAGTTTGAATATTTATATGTCCCATGCGTTCATGCCAGAGCTTTAACATGTTCATCTCATTAATTTTATCTTTAGCTATGCAGCATTCCTCAGGCATTTTTACTTTAAATAACATTTGAAATAGATTTCCGTAACGTTTTCCAATTGAGCTTACTTTACCTTCCGAATCTCGAATTTCACATCTGTCTTTGTAGCTGTGATATGAAAATCCTTTGTTGTTTACTGATCCAATTGAAAATAAATTTCTTCTTAGTTCAGGCACTAAAAGCACATTTTTTATTTGTCTTTCGATACACTGTTCGTTCACTTTATCTATAATAGTAACTGTTCCTATGCCCACTGCACTTAACACTTTGTCATTTGCAATTTTCACTACATGATTTTCTATTAACGGCTCAAAATGAGTGAAAAACTCTTTTCTAAAAGTCATATGCATGCTAGCACCAGAGTCAGCAATCCACACATCCTCATCTATTATTATAGTTTTAGAATACAATGCTTGAACATCACCTGTATAAACTACAGTTTTAGGAATTAACAGTTTACTCCCACTTTGTCTACACTTCTCATCACTGTTCACTTTCACAGCTGACCTGATGACGTTAGTATTCTTTTCACTATTCACTTCACAGATGTATGCTTCACCTTCTGATTTCAATTGTCTTTTTTCACTCTTTTCCGATCCTGCTTTCGAGGGACATTCACGCACCCAGTGTCCTTTTTCTTTACAGAAAGCACACTTTGTTCGCTTTTTAAGTGCTTCAATTCGCTTGGCTCCCTCTGCTTTCTTATCTTTTGTTTTAAGCTTGTTGTTGTTTCTCTTCAAATTTAGTGCTTGTATTTGAAGTGCAATTTCTGTTGCATTTTCTTCCGTTTCAGTCATTCGCTTATCTTCACGAATTAATCTGGCAATGAGAGCATCCTTTTTTCTCTCAGCTTTTGGTGTACATTCCCAGGCCATCCGGAACGTTGCAAATTTTGGTGGTAAGCTGCTTAATAGCTTCGATTCCACTGCTGCATCTGAAGGCTTGTCATCTGCATCTGCAAGCTTTTTGCAGATAGATTCTAATCCTTCAATTTGAAGCGATATTGATTCTTCATCTTTTATATGTAATGAATAAAATTGTTCCCACGCACTTTGCTTGGCATCTTCGCTTGATGTTCCGTATAAATTTCGCAGTTTTTCCCACATATCCTTTGGATTTGAACAATTTATTAAGTTCGGATGCAACACTTTTTCTATTGAACTTAATAAAATAACTGCCGCTTGAGAATTACTCTTCTTCCACTTCTTCCAGTCTGCTAAATTTGTTGCTTTATCAGGTTCTATCTCTGTTCCTTCAACAAATCCTGTGAGATCTTTTGCTTCTAAAAGAAACCACACACTAAATTTCCACATAGGATAATTTGTACCGTCTAATTTTGTTAAATCTATTGTTTCTTTATCAGCCATATTGATAAAGTTCTGCTGAACTCACTTTAACACTTAAGACGCTTGAAACTTTAGAACCACGCGACGCGTTACTTGGCGTGACCGACGCCTACTTGACGCTTCGCTTTATTTTACACTTTTTAAAACACTATTAATTACTTTTTGGCGCAGTGGAAGCGTGCTGGGCCCATAACCTGTTGAATTTATACACGGGATAAATAAGGCTGCAGGTTTAATCAGTAAAATAATTATTTAATGTATCAAAAATGTATTACAAATTATGAGCATCGAACATTGCTCATTGCTGGTTAGCGGAGTACTACTGTTGCAATCAGGTAAAACGACGCTTGACAAAATCAACCCAAAAAGAGGTATATACGTACTACCTTTTTGCTATCATAAAGTTTCCTTTACCTGAAATTATTTTGGCTCAACTTGCACAGACTTGTTTAACTAAATTCAGTTTTCAATGCTACTAACATTTCTACATTTTTAAACCCTACAAAATATCATTCATTCTACAGAGAATTTAACAATTTTAAATTCTGTAAATTTCATAAATATGCTGATGATTTTAAACTTTATCTTTCTGGTCCTTTATCTGATATTGCAAACTTGCTTAAAAATATTCAATACGACATTAAAATTGTTTAACAGTGGGCAGTAAGGAATGGCTTGCGTCTTAATCCTAATACGACGCAAGCGATAATCTTTTCTGCTACTTACTTTTTATTGGATTTCTTATCATCTCTCCCCCCTACTGGTTAAAGAAACTCCCATTTTATTTGGTAAGGCCATGTCTTTAGCATCTCTAGCAAGACATACATGGTTCTTCAGCAATTAAATAGGAATGGGGATTCTCTCCCTACTCCAACCCGGTTACTTCTTGTCAAGTCTTTGATTCTGCCCTTCTTTCATTATTGTTGTGTGACTTATGAAGATATCTCAGGAGAGCTGAATAATAAACTTGAAAGAGCCTTAAATGCTTGTATTCGTTTTGTATATAATCTACCGAAGAATGAACATATTACTGATCATATTACTCAGTGAGCTCATTAGCTCTAGGAACTTACTTTTGAATAAATAAATAAATAAATAAATAATGAAATTAAAATCTTTTGAAATGTCAGGGTCTGTTTTAAAATGGTTTTCATCTTATTTGTCTGGTAGAGTGCAATGTGTTGTTGGGCCTAATGGTGATAAGTCTGAATGGGGTCATATTGGAACAGGCGTACAACAGGGTATTATCTGTTAAAAACTTTTTATTTATTTTTTGTCGAACTGAACAATATAAGAATTCATTTATTGTTACTGCTGCTGATCTGTGGAATTCTCTTCCATACTTGATAACTAGAGCGGATAATATTGGTATTTTTAAATCAAAACTCTTTAAATATTTAATTGTTCTTAATAATTAATTTCTGTTGTTTTGTGTGGTTTCTTGTATTAATTTTATCTATATATATATATATATATATATAATTTATATCAGAATTTATTTGTGTTAATTTTTATTTTACAGTATATGCTTGTACGAAAATGAATCCTACTGAATATTATAAGTATCCAAAGGGTATAGAACTAAAATGTTTATAGATATGATTGATTCTCCGTAAAGTAGGCATTTTCATG